CTCTCTCCCTCTCTCCCTCTCTCCCTCTCTTCCCTCTCTCCCTCTCTCCCTCTCTCCTCCTCTCCCTCTCTCCCTACCTCCCTCCCTCTTTCTTCTCTCTCTCTCCTCTCTCTCTCTCTCTCCCTCGATCTCCCTATTGATATCTATATCTCTATCTCTATTCTCTCCATCTTTCATGTCCCCTCTCCTTATCAGTATATCTCTCTGGTAATAGTTATGATGGTGAAAGTGCATCTTATGATAATGACAATAACAATGACCACGATGATTATGGTGAAAAATTATGACGATGGTGACAGTCGTTAATACAATGAAGATAGATTAGCAATATCAGTGTTAGACTATCAATGATTATGATAATCACAGTGATAATAACAATAGAAAGAAATAACAATTAATTTTTTTTTTATATATTGATATATATATAAGCTGTTTATTTATCTTATCTATCTATTTATTTACTTATTCATTTATTTATGTTATATATATATATATATATATATATATATATATATATATATATATATATATATTATATATATATATATATACATTATATATTATATATATATATGTACATGCATCATACATACATATGTATATGTATATATATATATATATATATATATATATATATATATATATATATATATTATATATATATTATATGTATGTATGTATGTATGTATATATATTTATGTAAGTATATATATATCAGGCATATATATACATATATATTATGATCACATTAAGAACTTTGATATAAGAAAAAAGAAACATCAGATCATAACAATAAGGACAATATAATTAACAAAATTTAATAACAAAAAATAACAAATGATAACAAGCATAACATGTAATAACAAAAACAATATCATCAAGAAGAACAATAACAAGAATAGAAATTATCAAAAAAACAGCATGAATAACAGATAACGACACAAAATAACAATTCCTTGCAGAACAAAAACAACAACAATAAAACGACAAAGAAAAAGAGTAGACAAAAAATAACAATAACGACAATATCCTCTTACAGGACACCCTCCCCCCAACCCCCACTAAGATACCCCTTCGTGCCCAACAAGAAGCAACAGGAAGAACAGAAATCATGGTTTGCTTTCGTCATGCACTCTGCAAGCAAAGAATGCTGCTTGTGAATTCCTTCTGTTTCTGCTTGCGGGCGGTGGTAAGTTTTGGTATAAATTGTTGTGTTTTTCTTTTTTTTTTTTCTTTTTTTTCGTTTTTCTGTCCCTATTGCTTATTCTCTGTTTATTCTTTGTCTGTCTCTGTTTTAATCTAGCTCTTTGATTATCTGTCTCTCTCTTTCTCTTTCTTTCTCTGTCTCTTTCTATCTCTATCTCTCTTTCTATCTCTCTCTCTCTTTTCTATCTATCTCTCTTTTTTCTTTCTTTCTCTCTCTCTCTCTCTCTCTCTCTCTCTCTCTCTCTCTCTCTCTCTCTCTCTCTCTCTCTCTCTCTCTCTCTCTCTCTCTCTCTCTCTCTCTCTCTCTCCATCTCCCTCTCTCTCTCCATCTCTCCATTTATCTCTCCATCTCCATCCATCTATCCATCTCCCTTTCTCTATATATCATATTATATATATATATATATATATATATATATATATATATATATATATATATATATATATTATATATATATATATATTGCTAAATTAGTGCAAAATAGTTGTGTGAAGCAATGAACGATAAGAAATGCGAGAATTTGGAATAAGCAGAAGACGAAGTTAAATAGATATATAAGAAAACAGATAAGTAGTGACATATGAAAGAGTTGAATAAAGGATAAGACAGATAGATGGAAAAGAGGTAAGTAAATGAATGGAAAGGAAAAATGGTTGTGTATTTATTTCCTATATTTCGTTCATTTTATCTTTGTGTTGGATTTTACTTTATTTCATATTCTTTCATTTATAAGCCTATTTTTTAAAATAAGATATACATATATATATGTGTGTGTATGTGTGTGTGTGTGAGTGTTGTGTGTGTGTCAGTGTGTGTGTGTGTGAGTGTTGTGTGTGTTTGCCAGTGCGTGAGTTTGAATAAGCATATATATATATATATATATATATATATTATATATAATATATATATATATATATATATATATATATATATTGCTATTTGATATCCATACCTTTATATCTCCTTTCAGGGATCGTGGGTCCACAACTCTCAAATGCAGAATGTGATCCACGTAGGTTGTAAAATTTGTTTTGTTTTTGATTCTGCTTCTATAACTTGTGAATTAATCATTATTCTAATTAACAACACAATATTTTTTTTTTTTTTTTTTTTTGCTTTTTAGTGGATGTTGATTAATGGAGGAAGTTCTATTTAAATGTTGCAAATGTTTTTTTTTATCTAGATGTACAGGAGCATAGAAATATACGTACATGCACACATATAGGCGCATGTCTGTGTGCATCTATATATCCAATCTATCTATCCATATATTTATCTGTATATTCATCTATC